TTGAAATCCACTTGACGTTGAAGGGGAAGTGAGAAGTTCTGTACTTGGGGCAATTTGGCAAATCTCTCCAAGTTACTATGTGGCAAGTGTTTTTGTTCAGACCAACACTGAAAAATCCAACCTTTCCTCCCAAGAGCTAGATGGCCATCTATTTCCTCCTGAAATAGAGGAGGAAGTAGGCAATGCATTAAAATTCTTTTTCTTTTTTTTTTTTCTGTACCTTCTTAGAGTATTTGGTTGTCTCGACTACATGTGTGGCCACTTTTAAATACTGCCTTGTTTCTGTAAGTAGCATTTTCCAGAATCCAATGGCAAAAAGAGAGGGATCTCCAGTGGTCTGTTTGATCCTCATCAGTTTACAGCAGTGGATGCAGAGGGAAATATGCCGAGATTTTTCCAGTGACTAAGCGTTTCTGGGTCTGAGGAATGTGTTTGTGAAAGCCTCCTCTATAAAAAGGTTTCAGATCACCACGATTCCACCTAGGACTCTGGCTTGCAAGTTGCACCATGATCTGCAAGTGAACTTTGCTAACTTACAAAGCTTCGATGGACTGAGAACAAGGGAAATTCAAATTTTATTTTTTAAAAACCTTGAAGCGGGTGTACTTATGGGACCAGCACTCCTTAGCGTTAATAAAGACTAACTTGTTATACTTTGAAAAGGCAAAGCTCAATTGTGCACAGGGGACTGTCAGAAGAGTCGCAACCCAGCATCTTTAAACTAAAAGCCGCACTGGTGTTACTCAAGCGTCCCTCAGCATCTCTATGGCTTTATCATTGTGCCAGAGGGCACTTTGCTCCCTCAAGTCTTTTTCCTTAAACTGGTTCCTCTGCCAGGTATTTTCATTGTCTCCTTAGAAAGTTCTAGAACAATTCTGACAAATCCCTCCACTTGCGAAAAGAGTCGTAGTGTGGCATTTCCATGTGCTATGAAAAGAAGTGCCAGGGTAGGACATTGACGGATACCATGAGTGGCACTCCGGGAAGCCTCCTGTCAGTATCGAGACCAGACTCCCAGTGCCTTTGTCAGCAACTAGCACTCCTGCATCTCATTTCCCTGTGTGGCTCAGCTGCTGCTGAATCTTTCCTTACATCTTTAAAACAAAACTATTATGCAAGGTCTGAAGCCATGATGAACATTTACTAATGAGTCTGTATCCCCAAAAGTAGATTTAAAATTTTAATCTTGACTGGCTTTTAAATGTAACCTAAGCCCAATAAGGATCTCTATTAAAAAAAAAAAAACAGTCTGAAGCATTATGGAGCTCTGGCATCGTGGGGGAAAGTGCCGATTTCTTATGCTATTATGAGCTCCCATTCCCCCTCTTTTGGAGAATTAACATATTATGCAAATTATTTTACAAATATGGTGCAGATGTCATTAATAAAACATGAAAGTGGGATCTGAGTCCCCTATTAGCATTTTCATTGTGTTTCCAGTCCAGTATGCGCCTACAGCTTTCTCCACCTCCTGAAAAGCTCTGTTGCCATCATCAGAAGCCTCTATTTGATAGAGCATCAAAAGTCTTTGTGCTGCAGAGCTGATGGAGCTCTGGGGATGAGGAGGAAGGGCATAGCAGGAGGGAAGCCCGGGAAGAGTCAGCACCACCCCTGCTGTCTGAGTACCTACACTCTTCACAGAGTCATACTCCCCTTCCACCTGTTTCCCCGGGGATGATGCTACCAGCTTGTTTATGGATGCTCACTAATCAGAAGGTCGAATTTAGATATGGTCAAGTTTACTCTCTTCTAGTTGGTGGAAATATCATCTGGGGCTGGATTCAGAACTGCCAGCACAGCACGGTTTGACCTTCAGGGATTTGCTCTCCAGTGTTTGTTTTGAACAGGAGATGGGGTTTTCTGGGTTTGGGGTGAGGCTTCTGGTTGGCCATCTAGAAGAAGCTTTGGTTTCTGCTATTGTGGACATTCAGACCAAACACACTTACTTTAAAGCAACCCCCATCTCACCGTCAACAGGCAGGAGCTATTTGCAACGCAAAAAAGTTTTCTAAACATTGGCAGTGTAGGAATTGTCATCAGTCCTAACAAGACATCGCAGAGATGCAGCAATGTTGATAGCCTGCGTAGAAATCACCCGAGGAATATTATTCTGGAAGTTATGTCCCAAGCACGCATTCTAAAATTAATTTCTCAGCCTACTGGAAACTAACACTGCTAATAATTAAAAGGTGTGTGTTATCAGGGGGCCAGATAGGAAAGGAATTTATATCTCTTCACCCAGATCAACTCAGGTGAAATCATGTAGATTATTCAGCGGAAAAAGGACCCAGCTGTTGCCTCGATTAACCAGATTGGGGAGGGAATGTGGTGACCATCAAGTGATAGGGGTGAGTGAACAAAAGCTGGGGGGCTGATAACCTGGCCAGGCTGCCAGAACTGACCATGGTCAGGGTGGCTTTACTGGCCCTCTCTGCTGGAGCTGGGTGGGCCCCACTGCTGCTAACAGGTGCAAGTCTTCCCCCTGTTTTGGAATCCTTGTTTCTGCTGTCAATCACAGGTGACCCTTTGGGACATTGGCAGCAGCTCAGAGGCAAGGATGCATGTGTGGATGACTCTCCTGCCCAACAGGTAAGATCCAAGCAAGGAGAACCCCTGACTCACAGCCACCAATAGCACCATCACTACACCTTATGAACCACTCGTAGGAGACAGTGTCACTGGAGCTCCTTGCCTTGGACCTTCTTTGAGGTACTCGAGCTGTACTGAGTTTTCAAATATTTAACTTTAACCTGTTTAATATTTAGTAAGGCTAAAGAAATAAAAGATGAATTATTGAAGAGATTAATGTCTTTAAAACCAAAAAAGTCACAGCTAGGCAGCTTTGTATCAAAAACTCATTTCACAGGCATTAATTTTTTAATAAAATGCTGATTGTGTGATGAAGTCGTGTTTCTAACTAGCCCGGTTACTCACTGGGAAGGGCATCCTTATTTTCCCCAGGCGGCGTGCAATCTGAGTTGAATTCTTTCTTACGTAGGTCCTAGAAACTGTTGGGAAAAAAATCGGAAAGGACAGACTCTGAATTTTCCTCCTGATTTGTAACCTGAGTTAACATTTGAAACCCTGTGACATTGGAAACCTAGCCCAAGAGGGGGTGGACATGGCTTTTCAGACCATAACTGCAGACAAAGGGATCGCCGTTAGGAATTGTGTTTTCTGGGGGCACAAGGAGAGGGAGGAGAGCCAGGGTGGTGAATTCAAGCAGAATCAATAGGTGGGTCTTTGTTAATAGAGAAATCTAGTGTAGGAGCCAGCACAGATGGCGGTGTGGGGGAGGGGCGGGCATCTGGGAGGAGACAGAGGAAGGACGGTGGCTAATTTCTCCCCCTACCTTTTTTTGTTGTTTTGGCCGTGGATGTGATTTGCAATGTCATCTTGTATATCTCTTTCATCTCCGTAGTTGAGAAAAGGCATGATCCTCACATCGATCACTACAACTCACAGAAACTCCTTAGTAATGCTTTTCAGGGAGTGGGGCCTTTCAGCGGTACGTGGAAGTAATAATGCAGAGAACCCTGCATCGCATAGTGTCTTAAAATGAATATTACATGTAAAGGCAGAAACGTGACGTAGGTAAACAGACAATGATTTGGGGAACATTGACGAGATGTAGGTTAAAAAATAATTGTCACTGGGAGAAATTTTCGAGGTCATAAAATCACATGGAAAAGGGGGAAAGAGAATCTCAGACTCAGAAAGAAGGTTAAATTGTTTTAATTGGAAAAGAAGAGCGTCGGCCTTGGTGGCAAGCACTGTAAAATTTACTTTCTGCATAGCGACACTTTATGGGGATTTATGCCTGCCCCACTGCAGGGATGCATTTGTAAATGCATATTTATAAGTCCTCCTGAGGCTCCGAAGCAAAGCAGTATGACAGTGAGGCTCCTCTGCTCAGGAAGTGACTGAATCCTGCACCCCTGGGCTGAGGGAGGCTCCAATTATCAGAGAAGAGGGCCCCTCTGATCTCCTGGGGGAGGCCAAGCCTGCATTGCTCTTCAGGATCTTTCAGAAGCTCTAAGAGCCACGTGTATTATTCCAAAGCACGGTACGGGCGTTGATCGCCACATCGGTGGGGGAGAGAGAAAAGAAGAGAGGGTGGCTCTGAAATAAATGGGAAGCCACCTTCAAGAGATTTCTGTTTCAACAAGCTGGATGCATTCCTTTTGTGTTTGATTCTTTTGAAGGAATCGAAACTGGCTTCTGAGGTGAAGGGCAGCTGTGTCTGTAGATAGAAAAACACACTCCCGTACTTCCCTTTTCACTGGAGAAAATGCAAGACAGTGAACACTCCTTTTTAAAAACATCAATATTTTCTATTTATAGAGCTTGTAGAAATGGTTTGAAGTCAACAGCAATGAGAGCCAATGCTTTCAAATTCCACACATGCAAAATAAACTTACAAAGATCTTTAAAAACATCAGGTCAAAGGTCCAGAAATGTACATCTGAGTCTACCATCTTGATTTTGTTTGGAACACACAGAGTGAGTACTTAAAATAATTCCAGAAAGCAGTTTTTACGGCAACTTTTACAATCTGATCTGACCCAAACTGCATGTTGACTTGAGATACATTGTTAGAGGCTTGTCTGATGATTTTTGGTAGGTTGTATGTTTTATTTTTCCTGAGATACAATGCATGTATTTCAGAGAAAGAAAAACCTCCCAGGATAGGGATTACAGTTATGAGAAATCATTCATTGCAAATATTTGTGACTGACTAGACTTGGATTTGCATAAAGGTCTCCAAGCTGCGCTGTTGTACTTGGAGATGCTCAACCTTTTCAATCAAATACAAACTTTTCTCATTTTGGGGGGAGGGGGGAGAAGGGTGGAAAGATTGTGGCGATTTTATTCACACAAAGCCCTTGTTACAGCGCGCGCACACACACACACACACACACACATCCTTGTTTTTATAAAACAGTTTATTTTTTAAAATCTTTGGGAAGCCTTAAAGTGTCTTCCCTGGATGTGCCCAGGGGAATGCATGCACTCAGGAGCCGGATATCATCAGGCAGAGGCCCGAGCAGCTTCTGAGCGACGTAGAGACCACAGCAAATGCTCCCGTTCCACCTGCACCCCGAGAACTCTCAGCAGATGGCCTGCCCTCCGAATTTATGGCATGCACACACCAGGTTACTTGCGATTCGCTCTTCACCATACGCGGTTCTCCCCCGTCGGTTTTCGTCCTCCTTGTTGGCGCCTCTTCTCGGTGCCCTGGGAGCGTGCCTCCCCGGTGGCATCTCTGTGCCTCTGCCCATGTGTCCCTGACTTTCGCCTGCAGGCCTGTGTGCCTCAGTTTCACCCCCGACTCTCGTCCTCAGCTGAGGGCAAAGCGACCGCCAGCCCAGCTCGTGATCCGGATGCGCCTGAAATCCTCCTGTGCGGAGACAGTCTCCCTCTGGCCTTCCTCTGACCCTGGCTCCCATCCCGGGAACTGGCGGGAAGCGGGACCCACCGTGGCACCCAGCAGACCCTCATGCCTGCCCGCACCTGTCCCCAGAGGGTTGGGTCCACCCGGCTTGTTCAGCCTGCTGGTCCTCCCTGGACCACTACTGTGAGTGCTCCGGGCTTTTGCACCTCGCTCCTCAAGCTGCAGCCTCTCTGCCAGCCATCAGTGGGGAGCCACTGACCGCAGAGTGCCTGCCCTTGGCCTGTCGCTGACCCAGTCGAGGCAGCCACTCACTGCAGGGGGAGAGAGAGCAGGGCTGCAGTGAGAGGGACAGAGCACTCCTGAACCCAAAGCAGGTGCGGCAGAGGAAGAAGGGATGAGATGAGAGGGAGGAGCATGTCCTTTGGAGTCTGTAGGCAGCTCTGCGTGGTTGGAGCAAGAGCATAGGGTGGCTTGTGCAAGGCAGGAGCAGGGGTGCACAGATGGACTAAGGAGGTGCCGGAGGGCTGCACCTTACAAATTTATGGAAGCTGGTACCTTAGCCTGGGTCCCTGGGAGGTTCTTAAGCAAAAGAGTAAAATAATCTTGTTTGCATTTTAGAAGCTGACTCCCGCAGCTGTGTAGGAACAGGCAGGAATGGTCCAGTGAGAAAAGAAAGCAGGCTGACCAGTTAGGAGGAGATTTGAATACTTGGTGGTAAAGTAGCCAGAAATAAGGGTTGTCTAAATGAGCATGTCTGCAGCAGCGGGATGAGCCGATGCAGAGATTCCTGCCGGGACGGCCTGCCTTGTGACACCTGCGCCAGGGAGCAGCCTCAGCGGCCCTCTGCCACAGGACGAGACCCTACAAGACGAGTTCTTCCATCAGCAAAGGAAACAATGGGAGGAAATCTAAAGCACAGTACAGCTGCCATATATTCTTTTCCAGTTAAAAGCACCTTACCTGGGTTTCTGGGTGGCTGCATGAGGTGGTAAATATAGATAAAGAAACCTGTCAAAAAACGAAATGCGATCTGCTCAGTGAGAATCTGAAAATAGAGCTTTTCCACAAAATTCTTTTTTTTTTTTTATTTATGATAGTCACACAGAGAGAGAGAGAGAGAGAGAGAGAGAGAGAGAGAGAGAGGCAGAGACACAGGCAGAGGGAGAAGCAGGCTCCATGCACCGGGAGCCCGACGTGGGATTCGATCCTGGGTCTCCAGGATCACACCCTGGGCCAAAGGCAGGCGCCAAACCGCTGCGCCACCCAGGGATCCCTTCCACAAAATTCTTGATGCAGATATAAATAATTGAATGTATCTCCATCATATGGCTGAGTGACTGTGTGCACAGCTGTATCTTCGAATGGAAAACCCCAGATGCCTTCATTGTTCAGAGCAGAACTTCTCTAAACTTCTGAGATCCTTCTAGAAACAAAGGCCCCTTTCTTCTCCATCTCTTCCGCCTCTAGAAGAGAGTGTTATTGCCATCAGCCCTTAGCCATCCTGTGATGGTTTGTGATTTGATTTGTATGCTCCCAAACTTGCGCACAGGGTAGCAGCAGAAAAAGCAAGTGGCACGAGGAGATGCCACCTTCATGAACGATGGCTGTCCGCAGGTGTGAGCTTCTGTAGCTGGTGGCTTCCCTTCACTGCCCCAACACCACCCGAGCCCTGTCTGTTCCAGGGCTGACAAGGCTGCAGATGCAGAAACTTGTCAGAGCTCATCTGCTACTGTGAACCTCACACCTAGGAAAACAAATTCCAAACATTCTCTTCTTATGTATGTATTTATTTATTCATTCATTCATTTGAGAGAGAGAGAGAGGGAGAGAGAGCACGTTCATGCAAGTGGGATGAGGAGGGGTAGAGGGAGGCAGAGACAGAAAATCTCAAGCAGATTCTGCGCCGAGTGTGAGCCAGACACTATCTCACAACCCTGAGATCATGACCTGAGCTGAAACCAGGAGTCAGATGCTTTGCCGACTGAGCTGCCCAGGTGCCCCAAAACTATACATTCTTTTTTTTTTTAACTATACATTCTTGATGACAGTGCCTTATATCAAGGGCTTTGACACAGGACCGAGAGGGGAAAAAAAGCCTATGAAAAGGGTTTGTAAGTCCCAATTTAGAAATCTGTATTATACGCATCATTTGTGATGTGGGAGAAAAAAAGAATAGAAAGTATTTTTAAAAACCTATTACAGTATCTTCTGTTATATGATGAATGGATCATTTTAAATTAAACTATTTCATGTGGTTGGTGCATGTGCGAGGAAGGACAGCTTTGGTGGCTGTCGCTGGTTCGTCCACTCGCTGAACCGTGTTTCTGCCACTGGGACAGATGCTGGTTTTCTGGGATGCATCAGTCATGATTCCTCTATCTGAGAGCTCAGAGCTGAGAGCGAGAGAGACCCACAACTAAAACCCAGCGTGACACGTGTTACAGAGGTCATAATGCAATGTGACATGGATGGTAACAGACAAATGCAGAGATGTCCTGGTCCTGGAAGGGGAGAGCACCTGCCTTTGCTTATACCACGGAGAAGATTGTGTAGTGACCTCGGACCCGGAAGAATGCATTAGTGCTTATCAAACACTCTGCCTTCCTCGAGCTGGGGGAGCACAGGCCTGACACCAGAAAACCCCAGAACCCACCTTTCTACGGAGACTCGACAGGTGGCAAATCTTCAGATACTGGCACCTCCGAGCATATCAGTGGAGAACGTGCTATTTTCTGATCTTTGTAATTTTAAAACAGATCTTCATTTCAACCATGCTTATTAAGCAGAAGATTCCAGGAATCTTGGGTGGGCCTCGGAGGTGGGTGTCTTTCTTGCTCCTCTTCACTTGGAGGATCCCTGCCAGGGTTGCCACACTCATGGATGTCTACACCTGAAAGCGAAACAGACAGTGGGCTCGCCCACGATTCTCTCTGGTATCTGGTGCACGCGAAATTCTACAGTTTGGGCTAATGATTAAGCAGAGTTATGGGGCCCAAGCAAGGCCTTTTGCTCCCCACTCCTTCCTCCATGAGAGCAGATTCTGTGCACCACCACCTCGGGCACAGCGGCAAGCTGGTGCTGAGAGGACACACTCTGTCTGCTTGGTGTGGGTCTTCTTATCCATAGGTGCCACGGCAGTAGGCCACCTGCTGAAGTGACTGTGCAGGAAAGAGGAAGCAGAGGAATGGCCGACAGTTGTCTGTGTGCTTCTAATAAAGTGCTGCAACCCTGCCCCGTAGCAGACCCAGGCCCCAGCATCTACCCTGTGGGATCGAGTTTCCTCCAACTCTGGCACATGGTAGGGTGGCTTGGAGGGCTGTGTGCGTGTGTATGCGTGTGTGTGCAAGCATGAGTGCCATAGGGAGAGACAGTTTTGAGCTAAGGTTTCATCCTCCTTTGGACAGACCCAGAGCAAGAGCCCCTGTGTCCAGTCACGCTGTGACCAAGGATGGAGGGGATGAAGATAAACACAAGAACCGGATTTCTCTAAACACATTATCTCGCTGTCAGGGAGCCTGTCATCTCAACAGGAGCAACATTTCTCAAACAAAACTGATGGCTAATAATACACATTAGCCTTATAGACGGGATGGAGCAGGCGAGAGCACTAAGCTGGTGTCTCTGGGGAAGGTTTGGTTTTGGAGGCCAGATTTTAACTACAACTTGAACGATGGACTCTGCAATAAACAAAGTGAAAGTGGCATTTCAGATGGCTGAGCCAAAAGCAATGCTAAAAGTTCAATTTCTCAACTAGTTATTCAACAAATCCTTTGAATTTGGCATTATAAAGTTGTGACAATGACCAAGTATCCTAATGATCTCACATAAAACACTTCTTCCTGTCTTACAGGTAAGAATGCAGCTTTCACAGAAGCAAGCAGGGAACAGACCTGTACCCAATGCCACTCCTCTGTGTAGGAGCCCGCTCCGCGGCTCTGCAGGTGAGGAGCCATGGCCATCAGATCAGCTGCGGCACGAGTAATGGACACTTTCCTCGTCTTCAATCACTTTACCTCCTGAAGGTAAAGCTAGAATCGGAAAAGCCAAAATAAAAAATGTCCCAAGACCCGGAAGACTCACACTTGCCAGGGGACAAGCGTGCCCTTTGGAGGCCGGTCTCCTTGTCCTACTCCAGACAAGGTGGCTGCCGACGCCCCTAGAGCCTGGGCAGATCCAATCCCGTCATACAACCGTGCAGAGCCACCCCACTGCCGAGGTTCTTGTCCACAGCTAAGATCACAGGCACAGCCTCATGGCAGCATGCATGGCGTGAAGGGGACCGGCCTTGCTCACTGCCCATTGCCGTTCCACCACTGTGGTTACTGCCAGCATTTTCATCTTGGAGACAAGAAGAAACCCCGGGCTTCTTGGAAGTTCACCTGGCTAGTAGCTGCGGTGCTTACTGAACTTTTTGTCTTGTCACCTCCATGTCCCACCCTGGGGACAAAGGACTGCGATGTGATGCCTGGAAGCAGCATTGTCTGTCCCTCCACGCCTTCCAAACCTCTTCTTCTCCCTGACTCAAGCTCCGATATGTCAGGTAGGGGTATTTACATGTTTATGGAGCGATGGAAAAAACGCTTTCCCAGGATGCGGTTACTTTATTCTTCTTTCCATCTGGACATGTGGGGAATGATCACATTTATCCCATGTAGCATTTTGAGGACATGCAAGTGGATTGTTTAAACACACATTTTAAGATGCATTTGTTTATGTATCAAACATATTTACAGAGAGCCTAGTAGGGGCGTGGAATAATGTTAGCCAAGGTGCGAGAGTGAACATAACAGCTTTTCTTTCTCTCCCAAGCAGCACAGTTAAGCAGAGGAGGCGCAGGTCGTACATTTGCACAAAGAAACACGCATGTTGTGAATGGGCGAGCGTGGGGGAAGAGGAGCATGAGTGTCTCATTTGATTTTCATCATTGGGATACTTGTTTTTGAGAAAGTGATGTTTAAACTAAGATCCAAAGGGGCGTTGGGATGCATCCAAGCAAAGGGACGGGGGTGGCACATTCCAGAGAGGTGGGAACCCATGTGGTGGAAGCAGAGCAGGGGAGGACGTGGGTGTGGCATGTGTCCTGCACGGCCACAGAGAGAACGTGGCTTTTATTGTAAAAGCAGAGGGAAGCTGCTGAATGATCCTGTGATGGCATAACTTGTCTCTCCTACTAGACTGTGAACCCCGCAAGGCCAGAAACCCACATGAACATGGTGTTGCCCCTCCCACAGCAGCAGATACTGTGATTTGCTAACTAAATATTTGCTAACTAGAATGTCCTAAGTTAGAGATAGCAAGGGTGCTGTCTGAGGTCTTTCACTCAAGCTTTGCTGCAACTCAGAAGGTCCTCGAGCTGCGAGAAGAATAGAATGTTAACTTTGTTCCATCGAGCCAGGTAGGTTTTAAAAGTAGGGATCCCTGGGTGGCGCAGCGGTTTAGCGCCTGCCTTTGGCCCAGGGCGCGATCCTGGAGACCCGGGATCGAATCCCACGTCGGGCTCCCGGTGCATGGAGCCTGCTTCTCTCTCTGCCTCTCTCTCTCTCTCTCTCTGTGACTATCATAAATAAATAAAAATTAAAAAAAAAATTAAAAAAATAAAAAATAAAAAATAAAAGTAAAGGCAAAAGCTCACCCAAGACAGTCTGTGTGTGTATCTGAGGAACGATGAACAACATGTTCTGTTTCCCTCCTTTTGAAGGACTTCAGATTTGTTTCTTCTTGTTCCCTCTGGGGTTTTCAAGATATTACATGGAGCTGGTGAATGTTTCACATCGTGCTTGGTGGTCACTTCACAGAAAGAAATGCACAGAAACACCCCAGGGCACGGGGCCTGATGTTGGGGTCACGGACCGGCGCCTCGTGGAGCAGGTGCCCATCTCCTCCCATCACGAAGGTGGGAATAGAGGGGAGTCCCCAGAAAGTGGTCCCCAAGCACTCGCTTCCCTCTCCTTTGCATTTGGCGTTTTCCACCCAAGAAGGGTCATGTGGTATCTCCCACAGTAGGGTCTTTAAACATGATGAGAAGCTCAAATCTCATCGTGTTTTATATGTGGTACCACAAAGTATTTCTTGATGAATACACCCTTTTGTAAATTCTATTATTATTATTATTATTATTATTATTATTATTTTAGAGAGGGAGTGAGAGAGATGGTGGAAGAGGCAAAGGGAGAGAGAAAATCCCAAGCCGACTCCTCATTCCGCGTGGAGCCCCATGCAGGCTCGATCTCATAACCCTGAGGTCACGACTTGACCAGAAATCAAGAGTCGGAGGCTTAACGGACCGAGCCCCCCAGGCACCCCTGTACACTCGCTATTATAATAATGAGGCATAAAAATGGGTTTGACACAAAATTCTCTCCGAGTAGTCTCTCTGAGTCTGTTCCTCTCTATCTCGAGTAAAAAATGCGAGGGGTTTTTTGTTTGGCTTTTCCTCCATGTGAGAAGGGCCTTATTGTGAGAGTATTTTTAGTGTGGTCATTTGGGGAGGAGGGGTTCTGGGGAGTAAGGGGAACAGGACGGCGATACTGAAGAAGAGCGAACGTCTTAGGGTACTAGGATTCTGTGGGTGCGCGGGGCCTTCTGTGTCGGGGAAAGCACACGCGGGTGTGGCTGACCCCGGAGGAGCGGACAGGGTGGCGCGGAGGCCACCGCAGGGAGCGCGTCCTGATGGAGGGCCCGCCTCTGTGCGTGGACCCCGGGGCCCACGTGGGCAATTTTAAGCCACTGTGACTGTTCTCGCTTGTCAGGCTCTGGCAGTGACCGGACTCGGAGGGACCAGGCTGGGGTTCTCTGCCCAGTGACGTTACAGCAGGAACACAACGGCAGGACAGCAACTCGCTGGCCGACTGTCGACTTTTATCATCAGGAGGGCATGGAAAGTGGTGCTTCCACCTTTTCTGCGCATTTATGGGGGCGTCTGGTTTTCTCCAGGGAATCCAGCCGACACTCCGTGTGAAGGGAAAAGCACGACAGCATCGAAGGCCGAGACCGCTGGGCTGGTGGACGCCAGCCACTCTGCTCCCGGGCTTCCCCAGGAGGTCTGGACAGAGCGTGCTTCCTCACACGTTAGCTGAAAATGAGCCTTTTATCATGCTTTACAGCCATATGGGTGAACTTCCCACTAGCGTGTGTATTGCGGTATATTTGCTGTAAACATAGTTTTGTCAAAGCAGTGCAGTTGCAGGTTTTTCCCCATCGTGTTCACGTGAAGTGATCATCACACCCTCTAACAGGATGTGCCGGCCTCCAGGCTCGAGCCCATTTTCCTCGGTGGGCTTATCGTTGGCCCTAGAAGCCTGAGCAGATCTTGCACTTCAACGAACCGTGCTCCCGTGACCACCGTGCTGCTCCAGCCCCCCCTTCCTTCCCCCCACAGGGTTGGCAGGGAGGGGGCAGCACTGGAGCTGCTGTGATTGTGGCCACATGGCTTCAGGGGCTGCCCGTGTGCATCCTGCCCCGGCTTCCTTGGCTTCTTTTCAGGGGTCCCTGGCTGCCACGTGCCGGGGAGGTGTTTCTCTCGCAGCCTGGCTCCAGTCCCGTCGGGGGTGGGGTGGGGGGGTGGTCGTGTGTGTGTGTGTGTGTGTGTGTGTGTGTGTGACCCCCTGGTGCAGTGACAGGGTGATTATGGTAAGGGGGACCGGGGCTGCCGTTTCGAGCCACAGGAGAGAAAGTCACAAAGCGTAAGAATTTGCAGGATGCCTCCCTTGTGGACCTTCGCCCCCACAGGCCGCTGGAAAGTCTCCTGCACCTGGGGCACCTGCCCTCCTGGCTGAGACGGCCGCCAGCCACCGCTCCCCTGAAGACCATGGCAAGTCGTCCTCATGAATGACCAGATAAAACACATGCCCTGGGAAGGGGTGGGGTCTAGAAAAATAGTACATGATCCCCTGATATTTTGATGATTTGGGTGTGTGACTTTTGAATGGGAGTGCAAGAGGCTCCGAATCCCCTGGATGTTGGGGTTGGCCTCTGCCTGCCTGGTCCCCCTTTCCTACGGCCGCTGTGGTGGCTCCTGCTCCCATCCTTTGGGCCTCTGGTCCATCCTCCCTCTCCTCGGGGACATGTCTCCGGCAGCTCCCCGCTGTCTCCATCACCCACTTCCTCCTCTCCTCTGCATGCATCCATCACCATGGAAACGCACAGTCTCTGTCTCCGACCCACCTTCTCCTGACTCCATCTCCGCTCCAGCTTTTCTCAGCAGCCAGACTCTTCGGAAAAACCGCCTCTGCTCATTCTGAATTTCCTCCTCTTGTCCTCTCCCAAACACACCAGATCATCCTTCCGAGTTGCTTCTGCACAGAGCTGCTCCTACCCAGGCCCCTGGCACCCCCATTCTCGGCAGTCAGCTCACCTGACCTGGCAACTGTGGGTCCCCATAGGTGGTGGTTCCCTCCTCCTCGATGACCCCAGGACGCTGCACCTTCCTCTCCTCCTGTGCCCCTGGTGGTCCCTTCCCGGCTCCCTTGTGGCCATTTGTCTTTTCCTTGGCCTTCTAGGGTTTGAGTGTCCGAGGACAGGTGTCTCCACTGTCCTCTCTTTCAGGGCATCAAGGGTTCTCCTGTTGATTCTTCTCCAGTCTCAAGGCTTTTATTTATTTATTGTATCTATTTATTTACTTTATTTAAATACAATTAATTAACACATAGTGTATTGCTGGTCCCAGGGGTGGAGGTCAGTGATTTGTCAGTCGCATACAATACCTGGTACTCATTATGTCCCTTGTCTTCCCTAATCTCCATCCCTCAGTCACCTTGTCTCCCCACCCCTGTCTCCTGTCTCAAGGCTTTTAATACTTACCATCAGGGGGCCTGGGGGCTCCATTAGTGAAGTGTCGCGTCAGCTCAGGTCATGATCCCAGGGCCCTGGGGTTGAACCCCATGTCGGGCTCCCAGCTCAGCAGGGAGTCTGCTTCTCCCTCTCTGCCTGCTCGTGCTCTATTTCTTTCACTTGCTCACTCTCTCTCTCTAAAATAAATTTTAAAAATTCTTTTTAAATAAATATATAATTAAATAAATAAATTCCTACCATCAGCATGCTAGAGGCGCACACGTGCATAACTGGCTCAGACCCCATCCCCAGGCTCCATCCTGGCTCCACCACCTGACTTTCCAGCATCTTCGGTAGCACCTCGATTCAATGCGTCCAGCACTGCCATCTGATCTGTCCCTACAGCCGGGCCTAGCTTAAGTTGGTGGCAGCCACGTGTTTCCTATGGTTCAGGCCACAAAACCACCTGTCAGAAAACGCTTCGGGTTCTGGTCTCCAAGTACTTTCTATCTGGCGGCCAACCACATCTCCCCCTCCACTGCTGTGCCCTGCACTGGACCCTCATAAACTCTTGGCTGGATTACAGTGGTGGCCTCCTAACTGCTCTTAGTTTCCTCTTATTCTCCTTATTCCCAACCTGTTATCTAGAATGACCTTTTGAAAATGTCAGACACGTTAAGCCCTTCCATTGCTCCGAACCTGCAGAGCCTAGCTAGCCCTTTCAATCAGAACAAAACCAGAATTCTTATAATGCCTACAAGACCCTACATCTGAACTCATTTTCAATAATATTCTCCTTCCTGCTCACACTGCTCCATCTGCACTGACTTCCTCCCTGTTCTTTAAACATACTCAGAATTACCTGCCCCAGGGCCTTTGCACTGCCTGGCTCTTCCACCCAAATACTCTTCCCCCGGATTTCCTTCAAATCTTTGTCCAAATCTTACCTTCTCAAGGATACCTGTTCAGAAAAGCGGTGTAAAATTATGACTTGCTGTTACTTCTGGTCCCGATTATGTTTGGTCTTTTTTTTTTTTAATTTTATAAATTAATTTTTATTGGTGTTCAATTTACCAACATACAGAATAACACCCAGTGCTATGTTTGGTCTTTATTGTCTGTCTTTGGATAGAAGGTCAGCCCTATGAGGGCATGGAGTTCAGTAGTATTTACCAAGCACCTAGGATAGTGCCTGGCTCATAGCAGGTAAAAGAAAGCAGTCATCAGCTTAGAATGAGCAGCACAGTGGGGAATACAAGAGGAAACGGTGAATGCTTAGCTGTCAAAACAGGACCTCTACATGCACCAGTGTTAGATGGAGATGGGGATACAGTGATAAACTATTGAAAAAGCTGTTCTCCACTTGGAAGGAGATTCTGGGGGCTCCAGGGTATCAGTGAAGTCCAGGAGCAAGCATGGATTTAGGGACTGGGATGTGCCATGTAGCCTGGGTCATGAAGAAGGCCCGTCACTCTCAGAGAGTTAAGTGAGGAACTGAGAGAGAGTTACAGGCACAGGCAGGCTCTCTAAAGACCACAGCCCATTCCGGAAACCTAGAGTTGGAAACAAGCATAGCTCTATTGTCACTTTCCAGGAGGAGTGACCTGGTCCTTCTTGATCCCATTTTCCCAGTTGGTGAAGTGGGAAGGCTCTCAGTTTCTTACTGCTTCCAGAGGACAGTTAAGTTTGAGTTTGAAAGACAGTGACAGTGAGTGGCCTGCACTCTGTCCCCAGGAGGAGCCCTGCCCACACCTGCCCTCACTTGCCCACACCTGCCTGTACCTGCCCACAGGCCTGCTTTCCTTTGGACCCCTCACAAAGCCTGACCATCTGCAAAAGCTTCTCTATTGCCCTGTGTCTGCTGATTTGCATCTATAAAATGCCCTGCCTCTCTTATGTCATACTGCCCAGTGATTTGAAACATTAATATGGAAAAATCCCTAATGTGCCCAAGGCCTGGCTTTAGTTTAGGAAGTTCATGAGGACTTTATCTTCCAGAAGAATCTTGGGTGTAAAACTGAAGAAAGTATTTTTCTTCCTACAAGGAAAAAGAGGGCAGAACTTTTCCCAGCATCCTAGTATTCATGCCTCATGAATTATTTTAAGTTATGTAAAGTGCTACCCTATTAAGAGGATTTGCATATTTGCAAATATTTAAATACCATTCCTTTTCCATTTTTGAACAAGTTTTGTTACCATCCGATTGTCAATAGACATCTGCTGAATTTTTACTCTTTGCCCTCCCATTGGAGATGAAAATGGCAGCAGAAAGTTCTTTTCTGCACCAGGGTTTGTGTCTTACTAGAGAGACATGGAAGTTCCCCTTAGTATTTGTTTCTTTCATTAATTCAGCAATTTGCTGTTTTGGAAAACCTTCTGTGTACAAGATGTTTTCTCAGTGGCCTGGGCGCATTGTGTCTGCCCTGGGGGGTTGTAAAGAAATTGCCTGAAGAACACAGAAGAGAACATAGGACATATCAAAGAAGGCTTCCTGGACGAAGGGAGATTGTCACAGAATCATGCATCTGAAAGGCACCAGATATGAAG